GCAGGTATAAGATACCCTGTGGAGTTATTTATCAACAAAAGAACCCACATCGAAGACTTCAGCTCTACATATGGAACTATTCCAGATAATTACTGGACAAAAAATCAAAAAAACAACGAACCCGTCAGGACGACCGTTCCAGAAAGTTTATGAATTTAAATAAACCTAAAAAACCCGTTTTAGGATAGTAATTTTAATATGTAGTGGTTTTTCTGCAGTTAATTGTTGATTTACGTTTGATTAATGCTTGAAGTACCTTGCTTTGCTTTATTTTGTAATTTTATTGTGATCTTTCCAGCCCCCAAGAAGCTTGGCAGTTAAAAAACCGCTCTGTTTTCCTACCACTGGCGGTCTGGGCCTGGAAAACCCCAAGACAGCTTGTTAAATCACATGTTGAACGGTTGGTTTGTAAAAAAAATGCTGTTGGGCGGTGATTTCGAAACATTATGCATAAGAAAGCTTCGTCAATAGCCAGAATGGCTCTAGCTCAGGGCATTTGGTCTATCCAGCACAGTATCCAGACGTTTAGGGTAGGTCACTAGCCTAAGGTCAGACAGAGTGCAGTGAGGGGGGTATAAATCTATAACCAGACCTTAAACTTGGCCTGGGTGATGGGCGACGAATGGGAAACATTACCTTGGCACTGTCACGCATTTGGTGTTGTGATTTTGCGATGAAATCGCCCGTTCCAGCTCCTCCAAGGCGCCCGATTTCTTCAATTTCTTCACCAAAGACTTGACGGCTCGTTCACACCATTTGTCATCATCCGAGCCTTTCTTCCAGCCGAGAAGTCGTTTTACCACCGGAGGGGTAAACGACGGCAACATTACGTTCATCATCGGACAATCAACATAAACAGCACATCAAACATAAACACTACAAGCGGATCGTGGAAAATCCAGACACTTTTATTGTCTATTATTATTGTTCTTCGCGGCGGCCATATTGTCCAATGGTTTTGTCTTTGACGCACTTCAACTTAAAACACTCAATTGACTCAATCGCTAAAATATTGAGCCGCGGCGAACAAACATCAACATACATTGTTCATGCCCGCAACAAAGATGGACATATGATCCGCGGGCAGACGGACGTGGAAGTTTGCCTAAAAGAGCGGATTTTCCAGCCATATAATCGCCGGGCCCGTTATGCACCCGTCTCGCTCACACTTAGGAGAACGGCGCATTTAAAATGTGGACGTAGGTGCATAATTGGCGCAGCAGGGCGCATTTATTGATTTCAATATACAGAGCGGATCTAAAATAAGGACCAGGCGGAGCCTGTAGGCTCAGGAAAGTTTCTGGCTGATAAATTTGTTTCAAATGGCTAAATAAAGAATTCAAGCCCAATAAAAAAATATTTTTCAGAATATCAAGTACTACTTTTTGTTGGTTTTCGGACCGCATTTTAAAAGGCGCCCGTTGTTATTTTATGGAACACTTGCGTATTTTGATGAGTGAAAAGTGCTCGAAAACCGCATTTCCACAGAAAATGCCACTAAGGAAAATTGTTAGGCAGACGATTACTTACAAAGCGAGCATAACGCTAGCTTCGAACGTGAGAGCCTGATAAAATAAATGGGTATTTCAAACACCATTTTTTGAATATTTTTTCATTATCGGGCAAAAACGCACAAAATGGGTAGATAATGCCCGTTCCGGGTGGCTGGCAACGCGTGAAATGCTTATTCTGAATGAATACCCTTCAAAACAAAAATAATATTATTATAAACGATTAAAGTTAATCTACTGCTAGGATTAACGTATTCACTGACATTGAGTTTCAAATTTTCCTTTCTATGTAAGAAAACGAGGCGGCGAACAATTAGATTCTAAACTGCGGAAATATGTGTATTTTGTGGCATTTTTAATTTAGTTATAATTTCTGTCATTATATCTATTATTCTAGTTAATAGCGCAGATGTTAATTGACTGCGAAGGCTGTTTATCTGTTCGGATTCCAATGTTATGTTTATGTAAAAACTATAAGAACTTTTTCTTAAGCCGGGTTCTCATGAGGCCGGAATGAGGAATGCGGAAAACCTTCCGACCAATCAGAAGTTTGCCGGATGCGTTAGCCCCGCCCATCCGCAGAAGTTCCCAAATTTTAATATTTAATTTTTTTTTTTTTTTTCATCAGAAATTCTCGATCAGAAAGGAGATAAAACCAAAAAAGTAAAACTTAACTGTGCCTAGCAGTTAGATGCAAAGTCATGCTCTCAGTCTGCAGAAAAATCCTCAATCTAGTTAATTAAAATGCTCTCAGCGCAGGGGCGGATCCAGCATTAAAGTCAGGGGGGGTTATGTAGAAAAAATACAGTCTTCTGTTGTCTATGAAATTAGAAAAATTATCGTCGTTTTGTGCAAGGGTGGCGTAAGA